TATATAGACATACAACAATTTTTTGTCAAATCAAATTTGCTAGTCTGAAAAGGGCTTAAGGTTTCAGGTCTCTTGAAACTTGACTGCAGCTGGAAATCTGTTCCATATTTTTTGTTATTTTTTTAAAGTAAAATTAAGAATGGTACAGTGAATACGGAAAGAAATTAAAGCGCACCGTACAATACATATTTATTGGATTACACTTTCATAGCAGTGGCACACAAAACCTAACGGTGCATTCAGAAAAGAACAAAATGTAAGCAACAAAAATACAAAATCTTTCACCATCTTACCTGATAAACATGGTTGAGTTTAAAATGTTTGAGGAGCAATAAAAGCAGTCCTGAGATTGCTTTCACGATAATTTCCTTGTGTCGGTTCACATCAACGCCAAGTTTCATCGATTGTAGTACCGTCATTCTGGGGAAAAAAAATCACTTTAATTTTTACCAAAAACAAAATATCTTAACAAAAAATCATTAATGTCATCATTTTTATGATCAGCACTTCATCCCCGTAAATATCTTTAAAAAAAAATTGTAAAATTATCAAAACAATACCATTGAGGAGTGACAGTAAAATCTGTTGGAAAAAACAAAACATGGTGGGGCTGAGATGGATGTGGACTCCCACTCTTCTGTCAGGAAATGATAAACCACCTGTGTTTGGGAAAAGATGTTGCCCCCCCCCCCTAGATTTATAATTTGGTGTGAAAAATTATGCACTGTATTAATAAGTGCCACAGTAAATTTATACTCTGAAATGCAATTAATTGTCTAAAACTCACGGCATTTCTTCTGGTAACACATCAGCCAAAATGTTAATAGAATCTGTCTTAGCCTTTGAGGTCGGTGCTGCTGCTAGTAAAATCTTCAACAAGGCAATCTAGCAAGAAGAAAATACATGATAATTATCATTTGTATTATTAATATCTTGCAATATCTAAATCATAAATGCTATAAAAATATAAATAACATAAAGTATATCTATATATCTGTATATAAAAAAAAAAACAAATGAAAAAAAAACCTAATTGGGAAATGTAATTGAAAAAGCATTTGTAGTTGATGATTGATAATAAACAAAACAAAATTAATATAGTGAAGGATAATAAATACATTTGATTGGAGAGTTTTAGAGTAAAACCAAGGGCAACCAATAAAAGCAAAAAGACACATTTTATGTAGGGTCCTGGTTCTGTGGTGAACTGGTCCATAAACAAGAAGATAATCTCCTGCTCATTTGCAAAGAGAGGGTACTGCATTCTATAACATGCTCATGGGCAACCTTGCAATATAGTGGTGAATCCAGTAGGGGTACGGGGTAATGTGCTCCGACATTTTGGTAATAAATTTTACTTACTTATAAAAAAAAAAATGTTGTGCCTCCTGTGCAAAATAATGGACTAAAAGCTTAACGTCTTTGCCAAAAGATCGTGCAATCTTTAAAATTGCATTTCAGCCACTATGGCTGAAACACAAGAAAAGCCGTGCTGAAATTGAACCACAGTTTAAAGGTCGAAAATGATATTTCAATGTTTATTAAGCATACAACTAGCCTAAAACAGATTGTGCTTATCACATTTTTCCCCAGAAAAAAAAATTTAAACAATGTATGGCCGCCGCAATGAAAATTATGTTGGCAAAGATACAGCACAAAACAAATATAATTAAGGAAAAGCGTATGATGCTTGAAGACAGCAAAGCCTCAAAGTTAAGTATTCGAGAGGTAATCAATATTCATTTAATAATTTGTGAAGGGCGCCCTCACCATATACTGTGGGAGACTTGACAACATTGCTTGGTATAGAATCTCAGCAGCTGTGTTTGGTATATCCTCTTCTCCCTATTACAAAAAAAAAAAAAAAAAAAAAATACACAGTAAAATTATGACCAAGAAATTGACTGCATGAATCTATATAAAGACAACTTTATCTTCTTATTGAATACACATTATAATTACACAACTGGCTATCATTTAGCTAGACAAACTTCTTAAGTTGTGTCAGCCATGGTCTGCAGTGGTACAGGCTGTAGCTAGTAATGTTCATTGCAAAAGATACTACACAATTTACTACTGTACATAAATCTATTATTAAAAACAACTTTATAAATACAAATAATTACAAAATGGCTATCATTAAAGCTGAACACACTTCTTAAGTTTTGTCGGACGAGGCCTGCAGTGGTACAGACTGCAGTTAGTAATGTGCATTGCAACAGATGTTGCGAGGTGGGGTTTTATTGATGCTGATACTCAATACTATAGCATTTACTATGTATGAATCTATTATAAAGACAACTTGATTTTCTTCTTGAATTCACATGCTGGACACACTAATGTGCTTTTCAGTTGTGTCAGGCAAGAAACCTGCTGTGGTGCTTGCAGCATTTAGTAAACGGCATTGCAAAAAAATGTTGTTTTGTTGATGATAATAACAATTATAATATTCACATTAAATAAATTGTAAACAATCAACAATTTTGAGAAACTCTTTTGCACTTACCTTAGATAAAGGGTGTTTATTAATTTCCTCTTCTTTTCTCACCTGAATCTCCGCTAAAGATACATAGAGATGCTGAAATATAATGTTAAGTTTGAAATGTAATATGCTAAAAAAACACAAGGGCATGCGCAAATAATGTAGTAAACGTTGCTGTTGACTCGCATCGCCTTAAGTCCTTTTAAGAAAAATGATTGCTGTATTGCAATGTTTACAAACCGGTAAGATTTTTAAAGTATGAGAGTGCAATTTCCAGGCATCAAGGTGGTGGTAGACTAGAGGACAAAGAAAAGATGGATACAGTATGCACAGTATGTGTGTAGTATTTGTTATTTTAACCTCTGTTTTTAATATGTATGTTTGTAATTATTGAAATGAAAATGTTCCTGCCAGAAATCTCCTTTTTTGGGCAATAACGAAATCTTTATTTTTAAATCTTTAACAATCGAAAGCATTGCAAACAGAAGGGCTTCATGTCTAAGTGCACTACAAAGTGGTATCAGCAAATCTATGATCATAATCTGGTCTGGAAAGTACAGCATAAAACAGGGGTGGCACCAGAATTTCCTGACAGAGGGTATGATGTACCTGACTAGAGCGCAAGTGGCGGATTCAAATACATGCATTACCTTTTCTAAGACATTATAGACTTCATGAATGGGATTTGGTAGACCAGCCAAGGTGGTTGAATCACTAGAAAAAAAAATAAAATAAAAACAGAAAATACCTAAGTTGTTGAATAACTGAAATAAAAATATAGTAGCTCAATCTATACTGCATATGAATAATTTATATGTACTCAATACATTAAAATGATTGGAATTGATAAAAAATCAATCAATTAAATTTGACAAATCAAGATGAACATGAAAGATTATCTAACCTTTGAACTTGAAAGCCAACAAATTTGTTTCTGGTGTGGTCAAGGAACATTTCTACGTCCCGTTGTCTGTGGAATTATCGAACATAAAGGCAGTCTGTCACATCAATGGTATCATATAATCAGAAATTTATAATACTGCAATTTAAAATGCATTCTCCATTTTTTTTACCTACACTAGACCCCCACCTTTACACTACAATTTAATGATGATGCATATAAATTTAGGTCTACATTTTACATTTTTTATTACCTACCTCACTTTTGGTGACCATGGGAGAGAGCGTGGCTCAACTGGGAATATCGGGAAGGCATTCTCCATTTTTTTTTACTTACACTAGACCCCCACCATCACACTATAATTTAATAATGATGCATATTAATTTAGGTCTACATTTTTTATTACCTACCTCACTTTTGGTGACCATGGGAGAGAGCGTGGCTCTCTGGGCGTATCGGGAAGAGGAGGTAAACCATTCTCATCTTCATCCTCACTCATGTTTTGTACATCATCTTTTGCATCATCCTCTTTCTTATCGTTATCATCTGGTATTGATTCATCGATGCCATCCTGTTTCACCAACATCTTGAACAACGATCACAAAAACAAATCACAATTATATACAACATGTACAGATTACAACAACCTATGACAACAGTGGTGATGCCAGCAAGGCAGGGAGTATTGGATGGAAGAGGAGGGGGAGGGGGGGGGAAGGGCCTCATAGAAGCAAATCCTTTCATCACTCAAGGTTAAAGGTGGTACAATTTGTATCAGTATGGCTTAAAGCCAGGCTCCAGAAGGAAAAAAAAAAGCAAATTCGACTAAAAACCTGTGAGCGATTAATGAGATACAGACTTGTGAATATTTCAAAACAGGGGGGAAGGGGCTTAACCACCAAATTTCCACCTTTCTTCCTAGTTTTTAAATACTCAAAAATCTGTATCTCATCAAATTTGCTTTTTGTGTCTTTGGACAATCAGTTGTACAATATTATCAAAACATTGTTTTCCTCCTGAGCATGATTTTAAAATGACCCAAAATCTCCAATGATTTCTATATACAGTAGCTGTAAAGGGTGTTCGCCTTGACCAATCAGGGCTTCACTTCTTCCAATTAAATGACCTTTGTTGGTAACTGTCAGACTTTTCGTTGGAGAGTTTAAGCTCGGACACCCGCCCCCCCCACCCCACCAAAACAATTACTGGCATCACCACTGATGCCCACCACACACAAACTGATATAGCTGTTAAAACTGTTTTAAGGTAGCAAGCAAGAGCAGAGGTACCAAGTATTCCACAAGCTGCCCACATCAAAACACTCCCGTATGAAAGCAAAAATCTGGATACTACCCAATCTCCTGAAGACTTATTATTTTTATGTTTTTACTACAGCATTATCAATTATCTCCCAGATATCGGCTGGTGGTAGTTGTTATTGTGCCATGCGCAACAAAAGTTAATGAATTAAGAAAGCTTATTTAACCAGATCTCCTGAAAAAGGGGCGGATTCAAAGATCCAAAAAGGCGGGGGGTGGGGGAAATTTTCTATGTTTTAGACGCTCGAAAACCTCTGAGGCATTTTTGGACGATCAATTTTTTTCTTTTTCTTCCTCCTTTTCTTTCTTTTTCTATTTTTTTTTTACTTTCTGTGTTTCACACTGTGAAAACCCTGTCTCTTATACACATCTAGATGTGTATAAGAGACAGCCCCCCCACCCACTGAATCCGCCACTGTGAAAGGGGCTTCTTTCAACTTTGGACACCAGCCAGTTGGTTGCATGTCATTTTGGCCAATGAGAATACACACGCTGTTCATGTCATTAATATTTCAGGTGCGAGCATCATATAAAAAAATGTATAGCTTAGCTGCATACTACATGGGAATCAGTTTGTGTCTGGCAGGCATTTTTAGGTGAAAAAGATATGGTGCTTGGTCACAAAATCAAGCATTTAAAAAAGAAATGTGCATAAAGGTATTCACTTTGAAGCTTAAACCACAGTGTTTTCAACGTATCCAATATAAATAAAAATGGTGTATTAAATTTACAATAATTGCCAAACATCCTAACAATCTAATTGGCAAATTATAATGACAATCAAATCATTTCATATAGAATATAAATATAAAACAATATAGTGATATAATGAAGTAAAGAAATATGAAATCTTGCATCATAAGAAAATATAAATTTTGTTAAGATAAATATGGAAATAATTAAAAGAAATATTTAATTACTTGTTCCAACATGCTAGTAGCAGAATTTGAAGATATATTTAATATTATATAAAATAATTGGAAAACTAATAATAGGAATACATGCGAGTAAAAAAAAATATTACATCTATACGTTAACCTAGGATCTAATCTACTCTAATTCACGTACGATGTGTCAGGGTTTAAAGGTCAGGTCACATGTGTCCGCAAAGAGCAGCGTCATGGTTACGTTGATGCAAAATTGGTGAGGTGACGACGATGGGTTTAAGAATAGAAAACAAATGAAAATATAAGTCAATAAAAAGTATAAAGTGAAAATAAAAGTAATGACAAGGAAAGAAATGATCAAAGGATATAAAATCTAAATAAATATTTTCTTTTTTTAAACATATTTCAAAGGTATGTCTTGCTACTGTGGGTTTGGCTTTATCGCAATTTTCATTTTAAGAAAGTATAAACATTCTTTCATTATTCAGATACAGTTTCAATTACAGTATATATTATACTACACATTATTATTATTATTATTATTATTATTATTATTACTAAATATAGTTAATCATTATAATAACTAATATTTTTATGTTATACTAATGATTTATAGATAATTATTACTAATAATTAGTAGAGTATTATTATTTCATTAGATATCATTTTTATGTTTTATTATTAATAATCACTACTACAGTATCAATAATATAACTACGGTATTCTCAATATTATCATTATAATTATTATATCATCCTCATCACTAATAAATTCATTCCTCCTGTTGTTCTCATGGCCATTGCCATTATTATTATTATTATTATTATTATTATTATTATTATTATTATTATTGCTATAAATTAAAGTCATTTCATTTCAATGGTGGTGCCAGTGGGGGGGTGTGTCAAGGGGTGAAAATCAGGGACATGTTCTGGTCTTCAAGAAAACTGCAAAAATTAAATTGCTATCCCATTAAAAACTCAATGGTCAATTCAGCAGAAATAATTTTCCCAAGTCAAAGGAGGGTAGGATGCCATCCACCCCCCCCCCCCAGACCCATGCTGTTCTGTAGCAGGACATACCTTATCAATGTCCTACAAAAAGCATTTCAATATAAATATATAATACATATGAATAGCTACATATATTGTTATATTAGAATCATATCACATAAATACAAGACTGTAGTTAGCGGGGAAAACCCTATAACTGTATTGATATGCTATGCAGAATCAAATCATAATAATCGGGTTTGTCTCAAATACTCAATACTCACAATCAACAAAAAAAATATCATTAATATGCTGTTAGGTAAGGGGTTGATAAACACAAACTGTTACCAATTACTAACAAAATTCAGTGTGTCAGTAGACAATGATGTACTATATAAACCCCATACATCATTGTTTACACATCCTGACAATTTTAATATTCAAATAATTTCATGTTTTTTTAAAGTATATTATAGTGTACTACAGTGTTACGTCACAATACTATGCGATACTACTAAGTTGCTATCGTTGCAAAATGCGTTCAACCGGACGCCATTTTCCCCACTGACAAACCATTGATCCCAATTTTAACGTAATTATTAAGATGTTGTATCTTACTTTTTCTTTGTAAATTTTAATTGATGATTAAATGTGTGTTTGATAAATAATATAATGTGAGCTTTTGTCTTGCAGTACATTTTGATGGTAAAATATTAGATTTTAAAATGCCTATTCCAGAAATCCTATGAAGTCATTCAGGCGTAATGAATGGTAGCCAACGTCTGTTGACAACAGAGAGCACCACCTGGTATCGTGACGACACGACTGTGGTACTCTATAATGAAAGAAGTAAAAAAAACCAGGATTGATTTAAATCTGTATGAATTTACGTCAATCCTAATTTACTTTTTTACACATTAAATCCATTTGGTGAGACTTTTTTTATTCCTTGTTTAGCGAAAATGTCTAAATCTCCAAAAATAAGTTATATATATTTCTTGCTAATTATATAAAATTAAAGAATTTAACCATTTCATTATTACATTGTTTACATTAACCAATAAAATTTCAGTCTGGAGGTTTTTGGCAAAAACTACTTGGTAAATAAGAAAACACAATTTAGTTTTTAGTTTTTTCCATCTTTTTCTTACGATCTTTAAAAAAATATGTTCGCAAAACAAAAGTATAAAAAGTCTTGCCTTTTGACAAGTAAGCATATTAGTATGCCTTGTATGTATAGCACCTGTTGGGTATAATATTTAGCGATGGCATGGAAAATTACACAAAAAACAAAAGACTGGGCCAATAGTCACAATTTATGTAAAATTATACCCTTCAGACATGATAAAAGGCCTTTGGCAGAAAAAATTTTTTGACTACACCAACATATCCTTATATGTCAGTTCTTATTAAATCTACTATAGACTAGTTTGTATAAGCACAAACCAGTATCTATTATCTCATGCACAATTTACCATAAATAATTTGAAAAATACAAGTGATATTGAATCAACAAAAGAATTGTTTAACTTTAAAGTAAATATTAATCAAAAACATAAATGAATTTATGAATCCTAATACTGATGAGTGTTTAAATACCAAAGAAATTATTATTGGCTTGGATAATTAGTTGCATTATATACTCTTGTTTTATTTCATTATAATTTTTATTATTTTTGGAAAAAAAATTACAGAAAAAATGTGCAGCAATCAACCTTCAAGTCTTTGAAAATAAATTTCAAAAAGTTGGAGTAAAGTTGCAACATGACATTTTAATGGCAACATGTCTCGCTCCAATTAAAAACCACTTATGGAACCAAGATTTTCATGATCTTTAGCAGCTTTGGTCCTTATTTTAAAAATGGTTTGGGTGGAAGCGGTTAGGCACAGTAGGAACGGTTTGGTTTCCCAACCTCGAGGTCGGGGGTTTCAATTCCTCAATGTGCATTTTGCTTGCGTATTTGAGCAAGGCAGTTTATGTATATTGCTTCTTACAACACAAAAGAATGTGGATAAGGTTTGCCTTGGGAATGAGTCACTGAAAATAGAATTGACAAAATGAAGAAAATGAACCCTTACATTACAAGAAAGTATATACTCCAAGTATTGAAATACACGCCATTGTGTTGGGATTCAATATTTCAACATTAATTATGTCACCATCAGGAATCCTGATGATATAATTAATGTCGAAGTATCGAATCCCAACACGATGGCGTGTATTTCAATACTTCAAGTATTTATTATACTTTCTTATCTGAGATTAATCAGTGAACATTTCGGAACCCTTACTATGCCTTTTGTTTTATAATGAAATTCTCCGCAAAGCCTTATAAAGTTAAAAAACATGGAGAGGAATTGAATGAAATTTGGATTTAAATTTCTTTCTTTATAGTTCATAAAATAACTTAAATATTGGTCATAATAATAACTTTGCTTATACAATAACATAAATAATGGTAGATATGTCTGAAAATAAAAACACTTTTAAATATACAGGTATGTTGAAATTAGCAAGTATGGGCAAAATTATAATAGCGCAATGCATTTATTTATTTTAAAAAGGTTTTCTGAAGAAAAGGGAGGAAGGAATGCACATGGAACAACTAGTGCCAATAGTTGCATGCTAAATATTTTACAGCATTCACTAAGTAGATCAATTGGCCTAACTCCACCACATTAAAAGTACATTAATTATTACAATACAGGAAATTCACGAAATTATTAGTCACAAAATATAAGGGGTTTTTTTTTCAAAATTTTGGTTGTTGTTTACAGCACTGCATACCCTTTTAAGTGGAGGTGGTCGGTTGCCTTTGCGTCCCTGTGGATCCAGCATGTCTACTGCAGACGCTGGTGGTGACACAGCTCTCAAGTTCTTTGTGATCTGTACGCTGTCCTCGGCAAGTGATGGAAGTCCGAGTTCTTCTCTCGTCTTTTCCTTTAGATTTTTATGGTCCTGCAAACCACCAAGTGAAAACTAAAAAAAAAAAAAATGTGAAAATGGGAAAAGTAATTGAATTAAGAAACAATATATCAATATTAGCTATAATCTTCATATTTAATCTTTTCATATAATACTGATTAGAATTTCTTTTGTTGATTAATGACAAATACAAAATAGAAAAGAAAAAAAAAAGTCCGATACTCACTAATATAACTTTCCATAGAAGAAGGAGAACCTTCTTTATTGGGAAATGGGGTGCATGTCCACTGCAGAACTTTGTTACCATGTTGAAGAGAATAATAGCTAGGGAGTCGTCCTCCCTAATTGGTTGTCCTGCAAAAGTTTAAACATACAAAAAAAAAAATCTAATTAAAAAAAAACCCTTTTAATTGAAACTATGGGCCACGCCCTAATTTTGGGCCACACAACATTTTTGGAGGGCCACTAATTCACTAAGGATATAAAAAAATAGTTTTTTGTAAAACTGCTTCAACACAGTTTATATGAAATTTTTGGAATGATGTCAAATTATTGTATATTAGAATATGGCGGTAATTTTCACAATCAAAACTTCTTGGTTTTGTTAATGTTTGCCCTGGCACGGGTGGGCCAAGGCTTGGTGCCTAGAGCCTTTAAGAAGCCCTTAAAGTAAAGAGTTTGCAGAATGCTGCTCTAAAATGAGATCAATTGAACCTGCCACCAAGGAAATTGGGATTAAAACCATTTCTGCAGTCCACTGAACACTTACAACAGTCTGATCTTCAAAGTATAAGAGGATTTATAAGGTCAAGACACACAATATATCTTTAATTTTTTTTAATTAAATAATCGCAGTTGTTTACCTATTTCACATTTTAGGTTAGTACGGGATTTTATCTGCTCTTCAGTATCTCGGCTGTCGTCTCTACGCATTGTCTCAACCATAATATATAAAAGACTCAAAATTACTCTAAAATAAGATAATGTAAAAACGTAAAATATTAAAACAGAATGTCAGATCTGATATGATAAATCTAGATTGAACTAAAGGGAAGAAAAAAAGTTTACCTTTGAGAAAATCATGATAAAGTTTTCAGGTGAAAATGATCAAATCTGATGTTGACTGTAAAACAATTTTTTTCTTAACTGTTCACTGTCTTCCTCAGTCTTAGTAATACTTAATATTCAATTGCTCTTGATTTATACAAGAAAACTGGTAATCCAAGTATGTCATATATCTTTCTAAAGCTAATTAATTAAAGAATACTGTAAAGCCCATTATTTTTGCGATTTTACAATTTGAAATATTTTGCGACCGTCAAATTTCACAATTTTACAATTTCCATTTGTTTCTTAACATGATGCAGAAACCTACAATTATGTTCTTTTTAGTCTATCTGCTCCCATTTTGGAGGGTTTTCCCAAATTTTCAAGCAATCTACGCTACCGATTGTTTAGGCTAGCTGTCTTAGGCAGGCCTACAGCAGCTACTCCAGGAAAGGCTTAAACTTTTTCAAGTTGTCATCTTATTGCTTAAATCGCAAAAATTAAGGGCGTGCGAAAATAAAGGGCTTTAGAGATAAATACAACAAAAAAAAATGTTTTTATAATTTTCCAGTTTTGTCCTGATTCCATGCTGATGTAAGTATATTAGATGCTCAGTGAATAGTGTTAAATACAAGCCAGAAATAATCTTTTACATGAATATAAATTAAATTCTCTCACCTTAGGTCTGAACTATCAACAATCGATACCGCTGGCTTTCTTAGAGCTGTTGTCGCTGCTACTGCATTTCTGAAAAAAAAAAAAGCAGAAACAAAAAAGAAGTGTAAAGCTAAAATTCATAGGATTTTTTTATTTTTAATTTTTTTTTATTTAATACCATATTTCAAAAGGGTGACCCATCCAGCAATGCTGATCATTAGGGGCCCTCATACAATATAACCACCAAGTTTTAAAATCTACTAGAATATACTACTAATTATTACTATAATTTATTAACATCACTATCAAATTATTAATAGCACACATGTTTGTTTACATTTCTATATAATAATGTAATTATCATTAGTATAATATGAATCATCATTTTTGTTGTATCCATCATCATGTTTATTTGTTTACATTATTTACATAACAATGTAATTATCATTAGTATAACATCAATCATCATTTTTGTTGTTACCGCCATCATTTTCATCATCACCATCAATAATACTAATATTATTTGATATTTAAAACAATTTGTAAAATTTAACATATATTTATAATTTATTAATTCTAGGGCCAGAAGATATTTGTATGGATATTGTTCGTTTTAGTGCAATTACTGGTGGAGGTATGAAATATTTATTTAAAAAATTATTTTATACCATAAATGATAATAATTATAATGTATTTTATTTTGTTAATGTATTGTTCCTTTTATCTGTATTTTGTATATAAATTGATTTCTCTTGTACATATTTATATATTCAAATTTTTCATTTTATATAGCAACCATGTTTTTAATATTCAGTGCAGTTGCAATTTTAAATGTTAGTTAAGTCAGATGATAATTAATAATCATGATGTATTACTTCATTATATAAAATTGATTTCTCTTGCACACATTAATATGTTTAAATTTTTCATTGGTTATAATAATAATTTTTTAAATATTTAGTGCTGTCGTGATTTAAAATGTTAGTTAAGTCAAATAATAATAATTAATAATTATAATGCATTACTTCTTAATGTATGTATTTTGTATATAAATTTGATTTGATTTTAAAATATATTTAAATTTTTCATTGGTTATAATAATTATATATTTTAATATTCAGTGCTGTGATTTTAAATGTTTGCAAGTTTTTGAATGCATTTCTTTCTTTTATTTGGACAATAAATTATTTCAGTATTCAGTATATAGAGTAGACATGTTTCCTTGTAGAATAATGATATAAAAAGAGAGAACTTATTGAGAGAAGTCATCATGAACAATTTTGTATTTCAATAAAGTTAGTATCTAAAGCTTTGTCTAAACTATCAAATTTCATTTGACAAAAACATGTGAAATGAATAAATATGGTCATGATGACATCACACCATAACCATATATGGCAAAGACAAGCCAAACCAGTTACTTATTGCAAAAATCAGTTTTTAGTTATTAAATTACAGTGTTAAACAGTAAAATGAGAGATATAAATGGTAAGAGAATCACTAAAATCCAACATTTCATTATGAAGTTACAGGAATTTAAACATTCAGCTGTTTAAAGAAAAATATTTGAGAAATCAGCCTTCAAAGTTTATGATATTGGGCATTTCTCAGTCAGAAGCTATCGCCAAATTGTTAAAAATTGTTCTTTTAACATTGAAAATGAGGAAAATAACAGCATAGCATGTAATTATAGATATATAAAGGTAAGTTCGGCGCAGTAAAGTAGATTTCAAAAATGCTGACATTCCATCATGTTTTGGCCATTATCTCTGAAACAGGAGTTGCGATGAGTGACTGGTTTGGCTTGTCTTTGCCACATATATAGGCACATCATGACTATATATGAGCACACAACAGCTTTTTTGTCAATGAAAACATGACAATACGGACAAAGCCTAAAGTGCTACCTGCTTCATTGACCATATATTCAAAAATAACCTGAACAATTCTGTCTTTCTAGTATGCACTTCTTTTAAATTGATAAAACATCCGAGTGAGTGTTGCATATGACCTTACCCTGTTTCTAAGCACAGAAGTTCTACAAAAACATTGAGGGCGCCACATTCATATAGTAGAAAACAATTTTTTCTTGTCCATTCCATTTGCTCATCTTCTGAGCTAACTTCACCAAAATTGCCTAAAGAAAAAAAAAAAAAATTGTTCTTAAAAATAAATTAACTAATAAATGAAATATGTAATTTATATTTAGATTTCCACATCCAATTAAGATAGAAATAAAGTTGAATCAAAAGAGGAACAATAAAAGAAGAAGAAAAACCAAATGTAAATATAAACAAATATAAAAAGGAAAGAAGAACAGTAACCCAGCATTCAGTTATATGTGAATGGTTTAGCTGTAGATAATCTTCATTCGGAAGTGATAAAATGCTCTGGAAACTTTTCGAGTTTCTTGTATTTGCCTGATCGCAAGTAAAAAGTGTCAACAACTAACTATGTTGAATTACAAGGGCGGCATAAGCTTTCTTAACACAAACACAGCTACAGCCCCTATTGAAATTTTATCTGTCACTTTTTTATATTTATCAATTTTTTTTATAGGCTATTGTAATCTGTCAATGTATCATCTTAGCCACGGTGATGTTTTGTAATTTATTGTATATTTATTTGGTGAGGGGATTTGAGGATACCCACATCTTGTGTTGGGTTCCAAGCCCATGGGGCAATCTTTGCAGCACCCCTCTTGGCATTTTCAGATTTGTGATTTTTGTGTCAAATTTATAATACATAAACACATACAAGAGCAATCTGTTTCAAATTATTTCACCATTTAAACCACACCGTAGTCTATTACATAACACGGTTCGGGACGTTTTGAGTACCTTGTGCGAGGTAAAGAATGGCCTTCGCCGTTTTCATTCTTTGTTCACGCTTAGCTACATCTATATTGTTCAGAAGATGCACCACGTGCATTCGCCTCGCTTCATAGTCAATTTCTGTCCATTTTTTATCTTCTGTAATAAATAAAATTTAAAAATTTTATAAATGTAAACCTAATTCAATATACTGTAATTACGAATTTCAATACCTCATTTCAAAGACATGCTTAAATACGGTCATGATGACATTACATCATGATCATATCTGAACATCATAACTATAATTTTAGGCATACAACAGTTTATTATTAAAGAAAATTTGATGAATCAGACAAAACTTATAGAAACATTGAAGAACAAATATGCGGCACAGTGGTAAAGGCTTTGGGCTTTTAATCGAGAGGTTGTGAGTTCGAGAAAAACATAGCTCACATTTCCTGTATTTCTTGGGACACTGTTTAGGAACGACCGAGAAAAATGGGTACACAATGACAGATGGACACTTTTGGAATGAAAAGTGGTTTGGCACAGTGACTGCCGTTCTGCTTCCCAACATTGAGGTCGGAGGTTCAATCCCTCACTGTGCTTTCACTTGTGTTCTTAGGCATGGCACTTTACCTTCGGTTGTCTCTCTATACCCATGAGTACAAGTGGGTGCTAGTAGGCTTAAACAAAAACTGCTCTGATTACAGCTGCAACACTATGGAATTCTCCCCCAGGGAGCCTGAGTATGTGTTCCACCGCTTAGAGGCCTTGTTGGCATTAAGCCTTATATAAGTCTATTATTATATTGATGTGACCTCTATGAGCTTCGAGGTTCTGAGTCATGGATGACAAGGGATATACAGGGAGATAAATAAACTACCTCTTCTTGTTGGCATTAAGTGGTATATAACTCTAACATAATTATTATTATTATATTATTACTATATTGTTGTCACCTCTACACGCTTTGGTTCTGAGTCATGGATGACAAGGGATATACAGGGAGATAAATAACTACCTCTTCCTGTTGGCATTAAGTGGTATATAACTCTAACACAATTATTATTATTATATTATTACTATATTGTTGTCACCTCTACACGCTTTGGTTCTGAGTCATGGACGACAAGGAATACAACACAGGCAGATAAATGACTACTTATTCTTGTTCATGATGACATTACATCATGATCATATCTGAACATCATAACTATAATTTTAGGCATACAACAGTTTATTAATAAAGAAAATTTGATGAATCAGACAAAACTTATAGAAACATTGAAGAACAAATATGCGGCACAGTGGTAAAGGCTTTGGGCTTTTAATCGACAGGTTGTGAGTTTGAGAAAAACATTGCTCACATTTCCTGTATTTCTTGGGACACTGTTGAGGAACGACCGAGAAAAATGGGTACACAATGACAGATGGACACTTTTGGAATGAAAAGTGGTTTGGCACAGTGACTGCCGTTCTGCTTCCCAACATTGAGGTCGGAGGTTCAATCCCTCACTGTGCATTTCACTCGTGTTCTTAGGCATGGCACTTTACCTTCGGTTGGCTCTCTCTATACCCAGGAGTACAAGTGGGTACCTGGTAGGCTTAAACAAAAACTGCTCTGATTACAGCTGCAACACTATGGAATTCTCCCCCAGGGAGCCTGAGTATGTGTTCCACCGCTTAGAGGCCTTGTTGGCATTAAGCCTTATATAAGTCTATTATTATATTGATGTGACCTCTATGAGCTTCGAGGTTCTGAGTCATGGATGACAAGGGATATACAGGGAGATAAATAAACTACCTCTTCTTGTTGGCATTAAGTGGTATATAACTCTAACATAATTATTATTATTATATTATTACTATATTGTTGTCACCTCTACACGCTTTGGTTCTGAGTCATGGATGACAAGGGATACAACACAGGCAGATAAATGACTACTTATTCTTGTTGGATATTATTATTACATTATTATATTGTTGTGACGTGGATGCACTTAGAGAGGTTCTAAGTCATGCACGACTAGGGATACAACACAGGGAGATGAATACATCTTAACCTGTAGGCCATACCTCTTGAATGGTAATCTTCTTCAAAGCTCTTCTGTGCTAACGAAAATTCAACCTCTTCTGTGTAACTATACAACTCTAGAACATAAGAAAAGAAACAATTAGTTAGTCGCACTTGTTACTGTCAGGAAAACATAAATGTACAAACTGAGGGTTTTGATTACAGCCACAACCAGTGATTAACGTATAACGAACAGCCTCTCTGTCGTATTCTTCTTTTTCATCATGTGCAACAGTCATTTTTAAAATTAAATTATCATCAGATGATAAAGAAATATCCTATGAAACTTTATATGCTGTATAGCTCAGTGAAGATGCAAAAAATGTTAACTATACAACTCTAGAACACAAAAAAAAAGAAAAAAAAAAACAAGATGCAAAAAATGAAATTTAATAGAGTTTAATATCCCTTCCTTTGACCAACATGTTCGTACGATTTTTCCACCAATTATTATTACAGTTCATTCATGTAGTTAAGGTACTCGCACAAAGTAGCATTTTGTTTTTAATAATTTTGCACCAGATTTACAGTACACGTACCTGCCAACTCTTACACATAGGGTGGGACTTTTTCATACCTTGTTTAGCGAACCCACCAATAATGTTAATTTCGAATAAAAATTAAATTTTATTGTTGGCCAATTTTAAAAAGAAAATTTCAGAAAAACATAAATTTTCCCTTATTTATATTAAGCCCGCCGCTGCCTTGTAAACTCCAGAAAATAAGTATATTTCTTATTAATTATATAAATTTAAAGCATTTAACCATCCTATTACTACACTGTTTACATTCAAAAATAATTTTTTTTTTATTTTGGCCTCCATCTGGATGTTTTTGGCAAAATATTTGCTAAAGGAAAAAGCAAACGTCCTAAAGCTCTGTGGGTGTTTCTTGCAGAAATTATTGTAGCCTTCTTCCATACAATATTTGTTTTAATTTCTGCATCTCTTACTGTATATCGATTACTTTAATTGTATGGAAATAAAAGTACTTGATTTGATTTTATTACAGTTTAATTTGATTTGATAATGAAACTTAAATTTGGATTTTAATTACCATGTTAATTGTGGTATCATTAGCAAATGATAATATGAAAAAATAATGTCAAAGTAGTAGGCCTAACACGCAGGCTGTCAGCGAAGAGTAAACTCGACCACAGGGTGTTGTTGTGGGTGCCATGAACGAGTATACTCATCAAAATTAGGGTGACATTCTAGTGTTCATAACTTCTTTGTTTATTGTATAACCCCAGACTCAACGTCTGGTACTGTAGTTCGGGGAAGATACCTGTACACCTAGACGTATTTTTTTCTTATGTTTGGGAGGGGGCGTGGCCTCGAGCGGGCGTAACCCGCTCATCGGCTTAGACCCACACCCACTGGCTTTCATTTTGGACGGCCTATTTCATATTTCTGGCTAAGCCTCTGATAAAAAGTGCTGTCACAGTGCCGTAGAAGGGTATACTTGCCTCTAATATTCTCCCGCCACTTTATTAGACAGCATCATTTTGATGATATACAGTATAAGAAAAAAATTTCAAAAGAGTATGTTTGTACGTAACCTTGTTTTGGCACACGGGAAGTTCTGGCAGTTAATTAACACGTTAAAGATAGAAACACGAAAGAAGGTTTCTCACCTGAGATTTCCATACTATACTTGTCAGCATCATCATATTCAAAGTCAAGATCAGGACTGTCATTCTGAGACTAAAAAAATATAAAAGATTTTTATTTTTACCGTATTTATGTATTCGAATAAACATGCCCTGCGATATTGTTGAGAATCAATCAATCATAATAATTAGTGCAAGTATCCATATACTGTAATATGTTCAATGGGTCTCAAACAGGCTTTTTTAGTCACTTCTTGGAAATTAAAACTCGATCTTTAACAATGAGCATTGAGCAAATTCGTTTAGAGAAATATATGATGTCTCTCTCATTATTATCAGTACAGTGTTATTAATTTATGGTATCTCATGTATTCTTTAGTTGATAGATTCTAATAATGGTTGGTAAAAATTTAAATACTTCTTTTACTAGTTTTTCGATCAAGATCAAACAAGCTCCATTAATAGGATCAAAAAACATATGGCAACCCGCCATGTGCATGGCTCACTTGTCTGTGCTGCTGGTACTGCTACTGGTATGGGCATTTTAATTTACATTGCGCCTTTTCCTTACGGTAATAAAGCGCGGTATAGGCTTGATCGTGAACGGTAAAAATATGCATTCTCAAGAAAAAAATGCGGATTCATAATCATTTTCAGTTGTAATACTACAACCCTAAAGTAGCAAAGAATGCAATTCCGAGTAGCTAGGGAAAAAACATTTCGGGGTGGAGGATCCTCACATAGGGGAGGGGTTTTTCGATCAAAAAAGTAGCTAGGAGCACATCCGTGTGAGGGCGTATAGGAAAGTGTTACCATATCGGGGAAAAAATCGGGTTCACATGTGGCATTTCCGTGGACTCCGATTGGGTATTTACTAAAATTTAAAAAAAACACTCGGATGATGTTCTCCGATAATTTCCGATTCGGAAGATGGAATTCTCTCCTTCAGAAAACTTTACCGGTGATATGTTTAGAACGTTTCCAATTTCAATAAAATATGAAAAAATAGTTCAATAACTCATTCTCATATAAAAACTATGAAAATATCAAAGACTAATATATATATATTAACTCTCTGTAATGATAATTTTGATGTAATTTATAAGACTGCGCCTTGAGTGTCTAAATACACTAGGGTAGGTTTAGAGTCTGTGTCACTCTAGCTAGGCCACGATAGGTACTAGGAGTGATGCGTCATTGTGTAGCCTACCAGAACGTGTGAAGAGTAAGTAGACATCGCGTCTAGGCTTAGATAGGATGCATGCACGGTGCATGCATATGATGACAAATAGGCTAAAGTGCATAAATTGGGAACAAAATATTATTTTATTAAATTTAATTTTTAAATATTCAACCACTTTTGTCATCCAAACATTTATTACTCACATCAATGTGTTCTTTCCAATGAATTAATGTAAAACTAGCCCTATATTTCAAGTCAATTAGGACATAGGCCTATACCTGTATGGGATTGTATGTAGATTGGCCTAATTTTGTGTGTGCTCTAGCTAGTAGCTAGGCCTACAGTAGGCCTATATAATAAAAAAATTTTAAAAATCTGACACCTCAAAATGAATTGAACTTGGTGTAGTGACGGCCGCCGTCTGTTCGAGAGACCGATCAACGGTAACGACCTCTAACCCCGGCATCTGTGTATTTGCATATCCTGCCTTCAGGTGTGCAGAGGAGGGATCGCCGAGACCTTGGGGAATTGTCGTCACTCGTACACTAGACCTTATGCTGAGAGCATCGTTTACCTTACTACAGGATTCGTTTAGGTGTATCTGGTGTCCGGGTCTGTTATACAAGGTATATACCAATGAAAACTTAAATTATTTAATGGTCGAATAAATAAATAAATGATTGAACGAACAATGGTGTTTGAGATTTTAGTTTATATAATGCTTTACTCAGAGACACCGCTGCTAATGGAATTTAAATCGGAAATTGCTTATATTGGTGTGCTCTTAACCAACGTTTCAATACCATCGCACCGTCTTTCAAAATAATGACACGCCCATAGATTCCGTCTTCAATATGGTTTATGAATGAATGAATGAAGAGTAAATGAATGAATAAATACGGTAATGAATGAAACTGATGTCAGGGAAAAAATAATTCGCATTGGAGAAGGCTATTCTTCTATGTTAGACTTCTATTGATTAAATAAGTCTTTGAAACCTCAACTGTCATAGTTTGGGTTCGCCCCTACACCACTTCTGAGAGATTTTGAGCCACTCCCACTTGCACTCGTGTCGAGGTCGAGGGCACCCAGCCTCTGTCAGGGGTGGGGGAGAGGGGATCTGACCCCGTCCGAGGTATCGGACTCCCGTCGGGCAACATAGTCCCACCCCTGGTGTCTGAACTTTAACACCAAAAGTACTTCACTGGAATAATCGTATATACATTGTTATCCTTGTGTATCTCATACGAAATCGATCTAATCCAAACTATCCAACCATACAACGTTAGAATGTAAATATCAAATTCATTGTACGTATAGCATGCATGCGCTTTTAAAACAGCGGCACTCGTTCACATGACGATGGTGCTTTCCCAATTCACAAAATTCAAAAAGTTAAAAAAATATGCTTAATTAAACTCTAAACTACTCTAATATTACCCAAAAGATGTGCGCCAAATTCCCCACTATTATTAAATATTAGAGTCGTACATATTCTTAGATCTAAATCTATCAATCATTTCTCGTCCTTAAACCAGTTTCCAATATACCAATTACAAATATAACAGTCATAAGACAGAACGACTCCTTATTTTAGAACTTTACTTTCACAATTAGTCACACGCGCACTGTAAGCCTACATTATTTAACACTGTAAATTATTATTATTATTGTTACATCGTACCATTGCCGTATCGTAATGTCTGTATATATATTCTTGGGTAACTGTCGATCCATATGCCCATCTGATTTGACGGAACATTTGCCTGAAAGAGGATGTTTCTTTTTAGTGTTGTTTAAATATTGATAATCAAACCAAGATTTATCAGACATGATTTATTGATATAGAGCTATACTAATATTGCGCTCAACTCAATCACAAATATAGCGTGTGAATGGGTCTTTTTGAATAATATAAGAAGAATAGGCCTACATGACAATCATTTATGCAGCTAATGATTCCTTTTCCTAGTGGTGCTAATTAGAGCTAAGACAATTAGGACCAGCGTTCATGAAAACAAAACATAATGAATCATAAAGCTGCAGTCCCATTGTTCATGAGGACGTGCTCGATCACACCTTGTGTAGGCCTACGATTGAATCCATAGGTCTACGGCCTGTCAATCAACACCAGAGGCTAAAAATGGTCAATTAATTGACTTCATTATAGTACAGGCCCGTGAACCGGAGTATTTTAACAAAATTTGGCTTAAATATAGATGTACAGTACAATTTATTTTCTGACTATTCTTATTACCGTCGATGTTTGAAAAAGGGGAAGAAGAAGGTTATTTCAGATGACGGATGTAGGGTAACCAGAGGTACGGTAGTCGGAGATCTGGTGGTGGAAGAGAAACCCATAAAATAAGCGTAAGCAGTACATCCATGAATTTTTCAAAAGGGGCAGTGTTCCGGGAAGAGCTATCAGCCTGAGTGGCATAACAAAGAGACTAGATGAGGCCCTATTGAAGAAATTCATTTTGTATTTGTATTCTACTTTTTCTTATTGAGTACATGGTATGTATTGAAATTGTAAACAATGTAGAGTGCCATCAGGTATCCCACCCACATCACAACCACATGGGTGGCACCAGTGGTGGGCAAGGAGTTCTTCCCCCCCCCCCCCACCGTCGGGGAAAAAATCACAATTCGTCAGGGAGAAAAAAATATATATGTATTTTCTACATAGTAGTAGACTTCTAAAATCGATTAAATAAGCCCTTGAAACCCCTAAATTGTTACAATTTTCGAGGGCTTCTCCCCCTGGAACACTTTCGAAATATTTTAATCGAAGCTAGACCACGCCCACATTGCTTTCGTCGGGGAAACCTGACCCCTCGTCGGGGACCTCGGCCCCCCGTCGGGCAAATCCTGGCGCCACCCCTGCACAAGCATCTTGAAGTTATAATAAAAAATATGATATCCATTTCTCCAGCATTACTATTATTCGTGAGTCTCTGAGATAGTACCACAGGTATGTCCAACTACTGTACCTCTCATTGGCGTTTGAGTCTGATTATGCTGTGAGAAATACCGTATGTTTGTCAAAGGATAAGCAAAAGGGCAGCGAGTTCGGGCACCAATCTATAGGTTGATGTCTGAGCCACCACCACGGATCTTTAATGATCTTGTAATCATATTTTAAACATTGCTATATTATTTTCTTGTAAAGCAGCAAAAAAAAAAGCATAGTTTCAAAATGAAAGCTGGTAACTTAGTTGGTCTTTTAGAATTAGCAGTTCAATGGTTTAAAATGTAACTCCATCTACTGCACTACTTGTGTTTTCAGCAAGAAAAGCTAAACATGAAACTAAACAAACGGAATCAAAGGAAGAAATTGGCAACAACGGATATACTAAAACTTATTTATAGGTTAACAAATTTAATGAGTGTATAATTGACATAAAAAGGAAAAGAGCAGACATTGTTTTGTCAATGAAATATTAGAGAATCATTGCATACTGTACTCACAGGCATGTATGCGCATGACTGTGTTTCAAATTCCTATTGAGATTTCGGCCATAATTTTAAATGACCTTCAAATAAATAATACTACGCATGGGCAACAATTTTTCTTTTTTTTCCCTTTTTTTTTTGGATACCTTAAGATGGATTAATGGTGAATTTTGACCAACAAGTTAAGGTTCACATTTTGAATCGTCATACTGGTATATTTGCTGCGATCTGGAAACCTTTGAACCCCAAAACAGGTAATTATGTTAAAAATATTGATAGAGAAAACATTTGATTTTAACCAAAATAAATAACTAATGACGAAAAAAAGAGGGGGAAAAAAAGTCATATTCGCAATTATAAATGTACACCGGTGTTTGTATTAGGGCCATTTTTCTATTAATAAATAGAAAGAAATAAAATTCACAGACCACAATTTCTGCTATTTTTAAACGAGG